TCGTCCTCTGGCTTGAGATGGCTGCCACCTATGGGTCAGATGATTGTCTGCCACCATTAAGCAATTGGTAATTAAATATTTAAAAAAAATTCCCTAAACAGTGTAAAATTTGGGAAAAAATCTTTTCACGAACATTAATTGTCACGCACAACGAGTATGTGTGCAAAATGTCAGCTCGATTGGATCACGGGAAGTGGGTTAAAAAGCGACCGAAAGATTTGCACGGTCGTAAGCAAGCAAGCACATAAGCACGCAAGCAAGCAAGCAAGTGAACTTAATATACAGGATTTAAAATCAGAGCCAATTCACAGCATGTATGCACGTATGTTGAACTTATTTCGCACCGCCCGTGGCCAACCGTGCTCATCGGTGGTGCGATGAACGTGAGCGCTTTGCTTCACACCTACGAAGCGCTATGTGTATGCGTCATGGTGTTCATCTCTCAGATGTAGATGGAACTGAAGTAAGCATACGATCGATGATTTTTGTTTAATATTTATGATGTGGTCTCTGTGCAAGCATGAGTGATTGGGGGCCTCAGTCGTTGTGTGATTGTCCTAGTGAAGACATGACAACCTATATTTTGCTCTTGGGTGGGAGGAGGAGTGGGGTTGAGAGCTCGGATTACAGCAACAGCACCTCCATTTTCTGACATGAGCAATATAATACGCCAAGATATCCAAGGAAAAAAAAATACTCTTATAAGTTGCAATACAAATAGTACTTTGAATATGAATTCCTGACCGCAGGAATTCATATTCTTTGGGTCTTTCGGCAAAGTCACATAGATAAGTTAAAATAAAATAACAAAAATCTACAACATTTCGATCACAACACAAGCGGTCGTCGTTTTATCGTCGTTTCTTGTCATTTTAGTTGAACATATCGACGTCGCTTTAGCGAAAGACCCAAAGAATAGGCATCAGCTGAGACTGCCGTTCGGATGCTTCCTTGCGCCCTACCCTGGCACACATTTTTAGAGCCTCGCATGACTTTTGCACACCAATGATAACGTTCCAGAAGTACTTTAGCAGGGAGATGAGGTGTAGGAGGCATCTATGCAAGTAATTACATGTCCCGCCAAACGACGTTATTAAAGTCTAACACTGCGCCTGCGAACACAGTCGTACTGAAAGAATTGTGAGCGTCCACGCTCTCATTATTTCCGGGCAGCAGGTTTTGTCGGCCAGCTTAATCGCTTAGTTGCAACAAAGAACAACCCCAGCCCCCACCCCCCCCTCACATTATTCTGAGCTGTGCCCCCCGCTGGTGTGAGGGAAGGGGGGCACAGCCCTTTGTATGGCGGCAGTGAGGCTGATCCCCGTTCATTTGTAACGCGTGCGGGCTCGCTCAGCTGCACAGCGCCGCAGCCGTGCAGCCCGTGCAAAGATAATTACAAGGGGAAAGCGAGATGGTTATTATGGATGTTTAACGCACAGTTTAATAATGCCTAATGGTGCATTAACATACAAAATGACACATTTGCTCGTTGCAATCATTACTTCCAAGGAACACACACACCAGTACCCTCCTCATTCAGTCATTCGTCTTTTCTCGCTTTTCCTTTCCTCATGTCTTTTTCTCCTAATGAGCCTTGTGCCACGACTTCAATGTTATGATATATTTGCTAATGCAGTGTCACGTCTTGCTGTATCACGGAACAGTGTGTCGTACGAAACATTGCACGCATCCAAACAAAATCTCAATACTATCCTGTGCGCATTTTCTAATTGAAAATTTTGACATGTACGTTGTTTTTGTGCCTTCAGGATGAAAGCATTATTTTGCGTACAACGTATATGCTGGTGCCACTTTATGTGACGTAGCAACATTGTTTTAACGCTTTTATAAAATGAAAGTTTATTTTTTTTTAAATAATGCATCCGCCCGTCTGTCTGCGTGTGAAGGAGTCGTCACTAAAACCTTTCGTGAAGATGATCCAGGAGTAATTAAAATGTTATTTTGAAGCTGTATTGCTGTTGGGGACATTCACATGCGTACATTCGCTGTAGGCCAAGCAGGCAAATGTATCAAAGGGTTGTGCCAAAACTCATTGGGAAGAAAGAAAAAAACCCCACACAGAGCTAATTACATATGCCTCTTGGCCCATTGTGGTGACATCACACCGCATGTGTCCCAGCACAAGAATACTATCCAGTTATTGTAGTTAGTTATTTTACAGTAGAGTATGTACAAACACAAACGTCCGTGGGTAGCTAATTGTATTCCAAAACATGTCAGAATGGAAACACATTTATTTTAATAAACGTGCTGAGTCAAACAAAGATTATACACGTAATCTGCGAAGATGAACGCGAGTTGTTTAATTTCACAAAAATTTTCAACCCACTATTGTATAAACTAGCACAGATCTGTTCACGATAACTGCACACCGCAGCCCACGGAACACCGATAACCACTGCTGTTTGCTTTTCCCCTTAAATGTTACTTGGTTATGTATTTTATCTCCCTGTCTATTTTGAGCACACGATTCTAAATATACACGCTTATAAAAAAACACCACCGACAAAAAAAACACCATATTCCCTAAATGCTTTATTGGAACGTGCACATGGCTCTGCGATAGCGAGGAAAATCAACCGAACGAACGATTCGCTTTCAAGGAAATATTTGAAAGCGCCAAGTCAGTGAAAAATAAATAGTTTCATGGCCTGTGATCGTAAATTGTGCTCCAGTTTTTCCCATGCGTGGACATTTGCCATGGCGGTATGCGAGATCATATCTCCGTATAGAAAGCATCGTCGGTGCGTATCGGGGAGTCAAACAACCAGGCGTGAATTTCAAAATCGCGCAAGGTGTCATATACAGATTCAATTTTGATAACAGTGTTAAAACGACGCAACGACACAGCAACAGCTACGTAAGGGGATTGTAGAAATAATATTTAACGCACTTTGGGTCAACGCATCGCGTTCAGATGATGCGTCCTGTAATAAATTGTCGAGGGTGAAAGCGCTGCTCATTGCTTGGCTTCCTTCCAACTTGTTTGTGGTTCCTCGCGCCGCTGAGTCGTTCACTGTCTACGAGAGTGAGCGAATTCTGTGTGCGTTCCATGTTGAAATTATTAACGATATCAATGATTATTATGACTGTATACAGTAAACGCAAGTATCCTTGCAGGGCCCCATGCTTTTTATTTATTTTTTCAAAATTGGAAAGGGCCACAGAGCTATGTAGCTCTTTTTTTAGAAGCGACCTGACCACATATGATAGCTCAACGAAGTGGCTCATCATCACGTGGACATTTATAGCAGCCAAATACTCTGAACGCACGTTTGTGAATGTGGAGGGAAAACCTGAAAGACTCGAATAAAAATCCACACGACCACGGGGAGAAAAACACGCAAACTCGAAATATGCAGGCGTCAGGGTCGGCATCGAACCCACGACCTCCTGTACACCAGGCGAAGTAGTTAACATCTCACCACCGCGACGCGCCATGCTGCTCTGCGCATGACAACACATTGGGTATGGAATTAATTATACATTATTATAGCACAATAAACAGAGGATGAAAGTTTAAAACAGGGTGCAGCGTACTGAAAATAAAACCACTTGGCAATGACTCTGACAGATGTGAAAGTCTGCCTTTGATATCACGCAATCGTTACCGGGATGAAAAAAACACACACACGCAGCGTCCTATTTTCTCCGGCACTTGGAACATTTTCAGAATTGAAACAAAACATAATGCATGGTTAAGTAAAATATGGTTTGGCAATGAAGTGTGCATTACTTGAAAGGTGCATTAAATGTCACTGAAAGAAGCTAATGATTTCAAGGATTATTTTGGCTCTGCATTGAGTGGAAACATTATATGCAGTTTGTGTACATGAACAAATGCACCCATATGAAAAGCATTTCTGCACCCATCCTTCTCAAAGCATGCTTTCTGACAAAGACAAAGATCCCCCGTAAAGCCTTAGACTTTTAGGGCAAGTGCTGTTCGCGAGCACCTAAGAAAGCCGGAATGGCACACGAGGGGGTGGGTGGCCAGCACCATACCCGGCTGCCTTAGCTTCCCATGTGCGCATTTAAGTCTGAGTCAACTTAGGGGAAGCCCAGGATCAGTTCAGATACTACTTTCCAATGATATCATTCGTGGTGGGGAATTGAATTCAGGTCGCTAGAGTCAGAGTGGAGTGCACTCACCACTGTGCACTGCTTCACATGTGTGCTCTCACAAAGATAAAGACAAATATCCCCCATATAGCCTTAACAGGCTGTAGGGGCAAGTGCTGTTAGCGAGCACCTATGAAGGCCGGAACGGTACACGAGGGGGTGGGGGGTGGGCCAGCACCACGCCCGACCGCCTTTGTCTCCCTAGTGGCAATGTTTACACACCGCACCAGGTACTCATTTGAGGCTGAGTCGACCTAGGGGAGGCCCGGGACCGGTTCAGATAATCGTCACTGGTGTTGGCCGTGAGCGGGAATCGAACCCGTGTCGCCGGGTTCATAGCGCAGCGCGCTAACCGCTACACCACCGCTCCCCTGCTCTCACGCGCACACACACACACACACGTGTCCTTTCATTACAAAACATAGAGAGTCGAAGCCAAAAGTTTGAGTTAACCAAGCTGCCTGGCTGCAGAGACGTCGCAGCTGTGGTAGGGAGTTGGGTGGGGGGAATTATAAACTGCTTAATTTCAGGGTCCCGTCAGGCCTGATCACTGGAGCATGCTATTCCCTGGAGCAAAGGCTCATGGGGGAAAGGCAAGAGGCGCTGCGTCCCTTCTGCAGGGCTCACGTGGGACTGTGATCAGCTGGCCCAAGCTATTCAGATGAGCCAAATGATCATTTATCGAGGCAAAGACAGGCCACAGTATTTATTTTGAGAAATGAGAGCAAAGAGGGTGGGCGGGGTGGGGGACGGAGGGTGACGAGGTGACGGCGATGGTGGAGGGGGCTGCCATGTGACACTTTAATGTTGATAAAACAGCAGATGTTGACAATGGACCTTCTTTGGCCAATTGGACGGTGGGGATGGCAACATCATATATATAGGGTCGTGGTGGTGCCAGTAGTGGTGGTGATGAAAATTCGATGCCAAAGCAGAAGCTGATGAAAGAGCGAGAAGCCAGTTTTGCTTCTGAACCAGAAAACTTAAGGTTTGGGTAAGAACTATGCATTTGGTGCGACATTTTCTCAAACGCACAGATATTTGATATTTAAATTTTGTAATTGTTATAATGGTGCTTAAATCAGCGACGAATGTGCCGTGTGTTGATTGTTTTGCCGGGCACAAGTATTTAACGTGCTAATTGTGTTTCTACATCGGGTGTTGATGCCGCTGTTGTGCTGCAGGTACTTGTGCGATCCGGGCAGAGAGAAAGGTACTTTGCATGCAACATCCACTCACGCAGCACGATATTTTTTGCATAATGAACAGCCCTGTTTGGCTGTCTGTTGGCTAAATTAGGCATATCTTTGCGGGTATGTGCCATGCTTTATAGGGAAAGGCCTTCATCGTCAAAGAAGGTCATAAGTTATTCGCCGGTAATTAGTGCCGCAGTTTTAACGGTTATGCTTTATTTATTAGCTCTCACTTTCAAACATGCTGAGCACTAATTAAATGGCAACCGTCTCGGATATGAGAACCTGCCCATTTAAATACCACGAGCCTATTTAAAAATACAAACTTTGTTCATGAAAATAAATAACGGTAAAGTTGGTGTAAGCGAAATGCCAGAATGGCAAACAATTTTTTTTATTTTACTGTAGGCCTTCATCAGAACATTTGCATGACCTTGTTTTTTTGTATGTTAAAACATATATGTTTATATACATATTTACAAAGTGGCAGATAAATGTAGACAAATTGAATATTGATGGTACATTTTGGCACCGTATTTTCCATTGGCATTGTTGGCAAGTTTTAGTCACCAAGTAAATCATATCCAGAATTGGTATTTTCACTCATAGAGGCATATGACATCCCATTTAAACGAACAATTTAGCTAAATATTAAATAGTCTATACGCTTTTGACTACAAAATCCTTGGAAGCACTGGAAAACAATTCATTCTTACATTAGGAATTTGTAACAATACCAAGATTATAAATAGTAATATGCAATAGAGGGAAGGTTAGATGATAGCATTTCCAGGATCTTCAACAGCACCTATTGATAAGTCCTCTACCAGCATAATTTAGAATATATAAATTCGTTTTAAAGTTATTTTATCAGCCAACACCTGGATGCAGATCTCCTATACCATGTTGTGTTGTTTCACCATACTGCACCACAATGGTCAGTATGGGACCGAGCGATTCAAATATCACTCACGACGAATAGTAACCATCGCCGGAAATTTTACTCGGGTTGTTTGAATCATGGGCTAATACGTTAACCACTGCTCCAACCACTCTACCCCATACATTACATAACAACGTACAATACTTTGCCAAACATGATACGATACATTGTTTGGAAAAAAAGGTTTTTATATCAGTTTGCTTCATTTAGCTTCCACTGAAAACAATTCAGGCTCGCCAAGAAAAAAAATCAATCAATATTTCACGAAGTCGCAGGTGCGACGGGGCAGAATTTTTCAAGCGTTTCGGTGTGAAGCGTTTGCCAATTTCACACCGACGCGAGGGGGTAAAGTGTGCTGCTACAGAGCTGCCACAAGCTGTCTGGGTTTAAAATAAGGCCCTCTCTCCCTAATAATCACTGCCCCCCCCCCTTCCATTGAGTGCCCCCAGGTGTGTTGCAGGATGTGAATGATCCCCAGAAAGAAAAAAAAAAGGAACTGAGATTAAGTCCATCACCGGCCCGGCTGGGGATGATATTGAGCTGAAGAACTCTGGGAGCCCACCGGTGGGGTAAACATGATGCATGGTGCCACTCGACCCATGGCGATATTAACGATAACGCCCGGCAGTGTGCAAGCTTCAGTCGTGTGACCAACACACGTGTGAAGTGACTGTTTCTAAATAAAAAATGTAATTCATTTTATTTTCAGCCTTTTGTCAATACACTTGCCGGATGAAAACCTCACCACGGCGTGTCGGTCGTGGGGGTTATCCGACTATACTTCACCACTTTGGTCAATGCAGGTTGGTGAAGGGGTCGGAGGTGAGGGGGTGCCCATGACAGGCTCCTCGCTGGGATTTTAACTTGGGTATCTTTGTTCGCAGTGCACCTACCGCTCCACCACTGCTCTACACTCCACAATTCAGTTCCATTATCCCATACGAAATCATCATCAACATTTACACAATAATGTATATCATGCTTTAATTGACGATGATTTCCCCCTATAGGAAAACAGGTACATTCATGAAACCCAAGACATTCGTTGGAGGTCCTCAGTGAGATTTGGTTAAGAATGACAGATAACTTGGTTGTGAATTTACTGTCATTAGCCTGTTATCTGCGAGCATCCTTGGAGCATATGAACAAAGGTAAGAAAACCCTCCAACCGGAAAACAGTATTAATTTATATACATATTTTAGTTTTTATAAAATGGCAAATGTTATTTAGTTTCCAAGATGCATTGATTATATTATTTAAATGAAGCCTTGTTTGTATGTGTGTGTGAAGGTCACAGTGCATTCGTTCATTTATAATGCCAATTAGACTCTTGCATGAGCGAAGTTTGGCCAGTTCCATTCATGAGAGTTTGGCTTCATGTGCGAGGAAACCAGAGAACTCGGAGAAAATCCACCACGCGGAGTTTGGGGTAAGACTCAACACTGCACTCTCCTGGCCACATCTCACAGCCAAATGCTGACAACACCTGGGAAGCCCTGGTGGTCACATATCCGAGTAATCACCAGGCTCAAAACCTGCTTAGCTGCCGGAATTGTGCCGGACACGCAGCGACGTGTCCGTGGCCGTGTGTAGCACAACGCATGTTTCGCTTCTACCCTTTGCATGATAGGTGCTTAATAAATATCACTGCGGATGATAACGCGTGGCTGTCAACTAAAGACGCCTCTGTGTAGGCAGGTACATGTTGGCCCAAAAGTCAGGACACAGGGGTATTTCATTTATTTTAACACTGGCTTTACATTTACTCAATTGCTCATTCTTTAAGTTACTATTGTATCGATTGTCATTATTGATATTTGTATTATTCCATGTGGGGGTCACCTGAAATCCATCATTTACACAATTCGACCAAGAGCCCAGAATGACTTGAGATGAAACATCATTGACGAATGTTCAAATATTACACGTGTAATCCTAAACAAAAAGTCCCAAAGTTATTTCAAAAGAGAAATTCGTGCGTCCATTAATGTTAATGGAAGTCAGTTTGAACATTCGATAACATAAACTAAATAACCCTCTGTGATTTTGTTTAAATAAATATAATAACCCTATGGCGTTCTGACTTTGGACCCCCCTGTATTTTCAAGGAAGCCACGCTAAGGCCATTCAAGCGATGGCGGTGCATTGCGCACAGATGTGGCCCACCGACATGCTGACACCTTTGACCTCCAGCTGAGGCCAAGTGCCTGCTGGCCAATGTAGGCATTTATTAAATATTAATGTACCCCCACTGACACTGGATAAAATGTCACCCCCCCTCCCCACTCCAACTTGCTGTCCTTCTTATCTAAATTACAGACTTCAAGGTGTGGCCCCCTCGTGAAGGAGCCCGTGTGACATTTCAAGGCACGAGCAGGAAAAGATGGATAAAATGAAGTCCTCCTTCCTGCTCGGCCAGGTATTCACCGAGACAGAAAACATTTGCTGAGCACACTATGAACGCGCGCCAATAACAGGTTATTAGTCCCACACGCAGGCTTCAGACACTAATTAAGCTTCAATTTTATGACCATGTAATCACAATATTATTCCACCCTATTAAATCGAAATTACTTTTAATTACACACGTACAATCAGGTTACTGTTTCCTGCAAGTCCTCAGAAACAATACATTCCATTCTGCAGTAACACGTTTCGACAGCGCGGCCCTCCTGAACGATGCTAAAACGAGAGGGGATTTATTCAGATTCATTGTCGCCACTCCAAAGGATTTAGATCTCCATGATGCATCTAAACCCGAAGCTTTATTGAAATGTCACAGCCATAATCGGACATGCCTTCAGCATGACCCCGGGCGCACAGGCCTTTGGCCTGGTGTGATCTGTATTTCCGGTGACGAATGAGAAGACCAGACGCTCTCTCGCAAGTCATGAGCGGGCCCCTTGCACACCAGCCACCACGACAAATCATGCAGAAGTGTTTTTTTTTTTTATAGCATTAAAAGTATGGTGATGGTAATTAGAACACCGTGTGTGCTGAGTGGCGTGTAATGGTCAGCACACCAAAACTATGACCCCCTGGGACCCGAGTTTGCTCCTTGACAATGCACGCGGGAAACCGACAGAAATTGGTTCATGAGTTTGGCCTGTGCCTCCTCTAGGTTGACTCGGCCTAAAATAAAAATCTGGCGTTGCAGTGTACACATTGCGGTGTTGGCATAGTATTGCATCACCCGCTTGTGTGCTACACTGACAATCATTGGTTGAAGGTAACACATTTCTCCAATTGTCTCTGAGCCCGAAATAGGAAACTGTCTGTTTGTGTGTGTCCATGGGCAAAACACAATGTGCCGAACAATATCGAAGTTAAATATTGGCGGGTGTTGAATGTTTCCATTTTCGTGCGAGAATCAAACATGCGTTGAAAGTGAACCAATGTTTTGCAGCATTTTCATTAATCTCTCGAAAATGTTTCATGAAATCCAATGCAACGTTTTAACTTTCACCAGCAACAAATCATCCTTTCAAAACATGAACAGGTGTGGTGAATTTTTTAATAGCCACCTGAGCTTTACTGGTTCTTCATCGCGTCTCCTTTTAAGTGATTCCAGCAAAGTCCATGGGATTTCCTGAAGCAATGCGCGTAAGTGCTCGGTGTGTGTTCATGTGTGTGTCTTTGTTCATGTCTTTGCGTGTTCATGTGTGTGTGGGGAGCGGTGGTGCAGTGGTCAGCGTGCTGCGCGACGAACCCTGAAAACCCAGGTTTGATTCCCGCTCACGGCCAACATCAGTGACGATTATCTGAACTGGTCCTGGGTCTCCCCTAGGTCGACTCAACCTCAAATGAGTACCTGGTGGGGTGTGTAAATATATCCACTGGGGAGACAAAGGCGGTCGGGCGTGGTGCTGGCCACCCACCCCCTCGTGTGCCGTGCTGGCCTTCATAGGAGCTCACTAACAGCACTTGCTCCAACAGTCTGGTAAGCCTGTACGGGAGATCTTATCTTGTCTTTGGGCGCTTGCATTTTGGAGCCAAAATTTGCACATTGATTAAGAACGGAAGGGAGATCGTTATACATTGATTATTTGCAAATATTTATATTTCACAATTTTATTACAATTATGCCATCAGCATCATGTCATGTGATGATGTAATCATTTGGAACTCTTGCAGAGCAGTTTAACCATGCAAAGGCAATGTTATAAAACTATCAGTGAGATCCCTTCGAGTGGCCTTTATTGATCCATGCAAAATGCCCCGTGACAGATATATGTTTGTCGCATGACAGTTAGACCAAAGTATTTAATTCTTTGAGCAGGACGGTTGTCAAAACTAAGCGATAGAACGTCACCTCACTAAATTTGACAACCCAGTGGCTATCCTACCCAAATTCGAATGTAGGATCTCGACTGTGTCGAATGTGCTCTCAAAATCCTGAGTTACCTAATATCATACATATATATTTAAATGTATATATTCATACAATTTAGCCCCCAAATTTATGGGTAGATATTAATTTTAGGACTGATGATTCTGATATTGTCGAAGCAATAAAGGTGCTGGACACTTGAACAAAAATCCTAATTTTTTTTTTACATTTTATTTATTGCTTTTTAACAACATTACCAACAGGGCTTGAGTACATGCTAATACATGCCAGAGGTGCACATGCAGAGAAGTTGTGTTCCCGAGCTGTGATCTGACAACACCAGAATAGGAGAGTCAAGAAGAATACGAGAAAGAGGAGTGGAAAAAATAGGGAAGAACAGAATACGCGTGAAAGGGAAAATAGGAAGGAAGGTGATGGGATATGGATAAAAAAAACCCATCCGAAGACCGTGTCATGTGGCAGAGGCAGATTAAGAGGACCTCATGAATCCTGAGAGGCATGGCAAAAAAGACCGATGACAATGCTGATGTTGATGGATCATTAGCCCAAGAGGTTCCTCATCCCTGAGCTGCCAGTGTGACCATTTTTTATCGCAGTGCTGAAAGCATCCAAACTTTTCAAAGAGATGACAAGCATCTGCCTTATCGCCGTGGGCCAAAATAGAGGGGCTGGGGATATGAGCCCGAATTGAAGGAGTGGGGTGCAGTGCATGGGGCTGCAGATTCAAGGTGTGTTGTGAGATAAAACAAATAGCATATATTTTTTATTGTTAAATAAACATTACTATTTTGGAATATTGCTGCCTGAAGGAGACAGGGAAATATTTAGAATGTGGATAGTGTACATATGCATTTACCGTACCTTATAGTGTACTATCAGCCACTGTGAGATCATGATTTATGGACGGGAACATTCTGTATATTCTCTACCAATCATCGTTATCAGCCATGGTCCATCCACTGCTGGTCGAAGACCTCCCCAAGCCACCGCCACCTCCCAACATCCTGCGATGCAACAATCCACTCACGCTCTGCACATGAACTGAACTCTGATATCCTCGCGGACGTTACTTGTCACGAATTATTCATTAACTTCATATGTTATAATGAATTGTATCCATACTATTTGAATGACACAGAGATGTGCGGCACAGTAAACACATTTTGTCGTTGTTAAATGAGCATTGTAAAAAAAGAAAACTGTTGCAACACACAATGTGAGCTCGTTCTGGAAACCTGTTGTCCCCGTTACACTTGCACATTGGTTGTTAAGAAGAGCACGTGTTTTCGCGATGATGGCTGCAGTAGCAGCGCTAGCCTTGCATCAATGTTACACAGACAAGTCAACCGAAAGTCAGGGAGCGACATGCGTGGTAAACTCAAAGCAGTGGCGAGCACTGCACGTATAATGGTTCAAGTGTCGGAAAGGTAAACACAGCATTGGACTAAATTCATCAACACAGCCTCGCCAATGATCCTTGACGATCACAGCGAGTCGTTCCATGTCGCGAATGTTATCACCAGCAGACGCGTTCAGTGCATTGCATTAGCAAATTGTGTTTTTGTTTTCCCCCACGATCAAATTATATACGTCAATAACCGCACATATAACAGCGGTATTAAAAATGTGCTCGCATAGGACTGTAAATCTAGACCAGATAAGATGAAAGAAGACCCTATGCTCGAAATTGCCGCAGCCCCATATGGTTTATCAGACACAACCGTGTGCCTGCCTATTTGTTTTTGAAATGTTACATCGCAGACTGCAGTTCAGCCCTCCGGTTGTTGATATGTATTTATTTCGCCCCCCCCACCTCCCCTAAAAATAAATGCGGCCACGCACACGTGAGACTTAAGCGTGTGGACCAGGTCGTGACAATTAAATGTACGAAAACGCAACGAAAAACGCGTGCAGCAGCAGCGGCGGCGGCGGTCAACGGCTACGATGTTTCGCTCATCATTTGGCATCCGTCTGGGTCACGAGGTCGAACGATAGATGCCGCGTAGCGTGCGCTCAGCCCGTTGCAAGATGAAGTCTAATTTATGCAGCCCGGTATGCCGTCGTCACATCGCCCGTGGGGGAAAAAAATACTTCGAAGAAGAAAAAAAACCCAATTTGAACTTACGCACATTGTCTACATTCGAAAACTCCACGCAATGTTTGCAGTCAACACCGATGGTGTCACGTGCGCCGTCTCTGTCGGAATATCCCGCTGGAGTTGAATCAGCAAAAAATGCGCGCACACACACACGTCCGTGCATGAATGCGCGCGAGTAAGCAGCCGAGGGCGGCACACAGGCAAGCGTAGTGAAGTTGTCGTCTGTCGGAACTGGGTTCAATTCTAGGTTATGGCGGTAGAAAGCAAGGCCGTAGCCATGAAGTTAACATGGGGGGGGGGGAATCTTCCAGGGGGTCTAGGCACCCCCCCCCCCCACAGAAATTTGAAAACAAATTTCCTGCCATTTCCTGCCTAAATATTGAAAAAGTTTACTAACACATGGGATGGATTTTTCTTTTTACAATAATGTCAAATAGTGTATTGTATTACATTACTGTTTTTTTCGTTTTTTACCTTTTCTTGTTTCATTGTATGTAATGACAGAGATTAGGGATTTATAAAGTACAACCATAACCACAATCATATGAACAGAAATCTATGCATTGTTATATGAAGACAAGTCCAGATATTGCGGTCGGTTAAGCACATTTTTCTTTTTTTAATATTGTTTATAGCAATATATTCGGGGGGTGGGGGACATTTTTTACATATTTGAATATGGGGGGGGGGGATGTGTCTCCCCCAATATATGTTACGATTACGGCCTTGCTAGAAAGCTTGTGAAACTTGGCGAGCACGTGGTAAGTATCCACAGCGGGGTGGCATTGCTGGCACTGCGCCCATCTCGCTTCGTCTCCGCAGTGTCTCTGTACCACACAATGCACCAGGCAATGCATTTGAAGCTGAGTCAACAACCTATTGGGGGGGCCCTAAACCAGCTTCAGACAGCAATTGGCACTCGTGTGTTGTACAATCGAACCGACGGCCACTGTGATGATAACAGGAACGCGCACGTGCGGTCACGGTGTGGGCATCAGAGGGCAGTGGAGCAACATCGATTGCTGTAATGTATTTCGATGCTCCCACATGTCGCTGCCCACCTTTCACCACCCCGAAATGACCGACGTTGCTGAAGCAAAGTCAAATAACTCCCGACGACCCGCGCGGCGTACGGAAGTCCCTAATCCAGCAGCGGATTACACAAAGGGCTGTAAGTCTTGAATACATCAACCAACGATTGTGCAACTACCATGCCACTGCATGTGTAGACACACAGATGCATCCCGACACACGTATGGATGCACTGTACATACGTTTCGAAGCATTGAACGGCTCACAAATCTGGTCACAAATCCATTATAAATCAACGGAATATGTCCACTCAGTATGCGGGTCATGATGCAACCCATAAACGCATTCATAGCAGAGGCGCGCCGGTGTTTTTATTACTGGCGGCCGCTGAGAAGACGTATCACGCGGACGCGCGCATGAATGTGCATGCGCGCACACACGTGAACAAATCATCGTAATATGCTGCCACCCATCAGAGGGAGAGGGTGCGGTGGGGGTCGGGGATCATGAATCCTGTGTCGTTTTTTTTTACTCCGTTGAAGTACACGGGAGCTACACGGCGTTGACAAGAGGGCCACTGCCACTTGGGCTGAAGCAACACGGCTTGAAAGTGAAAACACCCAACAACAACAACAACGCGAATAATATTGACGCGACTGCAAAAATGCAAAACGTGGGATTTTTTTTGGTTTGTTGCTGGTGCAACTGCGAGGTAGAATTTAATTAGGGCGCGTCACCATCTATAAACTGCGCAGAACGAGCGCGAGATAATTCTAGCAGGAGTTAAAACGAAAAAAAATCACAGCGCTTTGTAGTTTTAAATCAAAGGGAATATGTGCACTGCGATGTGGGGAATATTTATCATGAATTATATAAAACTGTACAACTAGGCCCTTTGCAGTGCCAAAAAATAGTTAAAATAATTAACACGCTGGCACGCTATGTCTTCATACGACGACTGCTCCGCACTAGCCACAGCGCGTTAATGTTATAGCTCAATTGAAAATTAGTGCCCGGAATTTTTGATTTAAATACTGGACTGACCTGGGTATTTCGTGGTCTCAATGTGCTCAGACACAAGCCATTTCCCCACGTATGCATTCGAAGTCCTTGATTTAATAAGACTCATTGTAGATTTGCAGTAAGTTCGGGAGATTTTTAAACGGTATAATTTAGCTTGCGATTAACTTACGAATATGCATGTAACATAGTTCGTTATAACAATTACATACAATGTGAACATTGATTTATAATCAAACTAAATCATTCTAAATTTTCAACCCATTATGAATCCACTGCTTCATGTAAAGCCTAACAGTGGCGGTAGTGGGGGTTGTTTGACCATACTTCACCATGCTGGTGAGTGCGGGCTGTGTCAGAGTTCACCTGCCACTGATGTTAGCCGTGGCCTGGACTCAAACTCAGGTCATCAGGTTTACAGCGCGGGGCATTAACGACTACTGGCAGTACCGACGCTCTACAACCAAATTTTGATCCCGCGTGAAAATATTTCAATTGTATGGCAGGGGGTTATACATCTATACATTTAATGAGTGATCTACACATTTTGAATGACGGTGGTGACGCACATTGCCAAAAGGCTAACAATTACATTTGGCACATTGTGATGAGTAATGGGCTGCTGCTGCGGTGTAATGGTGAGCACACTCAACTTGCAATCCAGAGATTTCCGGTTGGATCTCTTGTCGGGGAAAGTCGAAGCATTCGACATTTATTTAATCCCTCTGCCTCTGTCTACCCAGCAGTGGTGGCGAGATGTTAACTACCTCGCCTGGTATGCGCGAGGTTGTGGGTTCGATCCCAACCCTGACGCCTGCTCTGTATTTGGAGTTTGTGTGTCTCTCTCCCCGAGGTAGTGTGCATTTTTCTCCGGGTCCTTCGATTTTTCACTCCACATTCTGAAACGTGCGTTTATAGTGTTTGACTACTATACGTTTCCACGTGGTAAGCCACTTCGTTGAGCTAGCGTTTGAGGCCAGGTCGCTTCTGGTAAAATAAAAAAAAGTATAAATGGGTACACCATGGTTAGTTGATTGCCAAACTTCGTGCGGTGGGGTAAATTGTGGGTACCCCCACCTCTTCCCTATTCCAAGTCGTCTAGCCAGCATGGAAGAGGAGGCCACATGCTCTCTAGGGGGGCTCCCCAGAGCGCCCTCTAGCGGAGGCCCGACTACAAATAAGGATGAGAAGAAGCAATTGCGGGAAATCACCTTTACCATGTTTCCCTTTCAATAAGCATTGCATCTTCAATTCAGGGGCCAGAGGGTTACTATTCACTTCTGCATTTAGCCTTGACCATTTATAATTTATAAAAGCGGCAGTGTATGCGTGTACAGTTTGTTGAACTTCGTTCGCACCATACGTAGCCAACCAGTGGTGTTAAGGCCATAACAATAAAAAAGCGCTCTTTCAACGACTTTCTCACACAATAACGATGCCGGATTTGAAGTGTTCGTGACTGCAAGGATCCATACTCTTTGGTTCTTACGGTAAAGTCGCGTAGGTTAAAAAAAAATCACAGCTAGAACATTTTTCTAGCTGTGATTTTCACACCTGATGATGATTGCTTGTGTTGCAATCGAAACGTCGTGATTTAATTTACTTTTATTTATTTGTTATATTTTTTATTTCTATTTTTTTTTATTTTTTACCTACGTGACGTTACCGAAATAACCAAAGAGTATAATAACGATGCCCTCTATTTACCCTGGAAGGCCTTGCTGGATCGCAAGACTGTGAGGAGGGCTCATGTACTGCGATGTCTGTCCATGCCACGAACGGGATCTGCACAGATATATTCAAGAATCCATTGTTGGACTGTCATCTCTTAAGCCTCGTCAAGACATTGAACGACTACTTATAGAACTCACGGTTGCAAGCGATTGCATTGTTTCATGTTATCAAAACAACAGGAATGTATCACTTCAAGCGTGTTGTCCTTTTTTTTCCTTTTCCATAGGGAGTAACACACTCTGTTACCACGTGAAATGTTTCGAATGGCCGTGACTTTCAACTTTTAGTTCCTTTAATCTCGCACTCGGTAGAACACATTTGAGGGTATGCAGCAGCACGTTCGTCTACTTAAGCCGTTATCCAAGGTCACCCCTAGCGGCCAGCTATTGCCGCTTGCACACAATTGCCGCTTCACAGCGATTCCACGACCCTCCATACTCCTTACGTTTTAAATTATGCATTGTTTCTAAATCTTCTTTTTCAAAATGACATTTTTTTTTTACACCACAATGAAAATGTGCATCATTTAACCCCCGCCGCGTAACTTCACTTCACGAACGAGCCACATCGACTTCATGGCAACGAACAAAATTGCGTGAAAAGCATGAAGATAATTTCATCTTTTTTCTCTCTGCTATCCCCACCCCATAACCAGCGCCACTCCGCCTCCCCTCCCCCACTACATTTCTCCCTCCTGCTGAGCTCAATTAGGCAGTTGTTAGGAGAGCAGAGAAATACATTTTCCGAAAAGAATCATGCTTCATTTCCTGCCGCATAGCAGCGTGTGTCAGTATTGATTGCGTTTCTCGTTTACGTATCACGTTGATGCTCAGCAGATAATGTGCTCGAATTTGAGCAGAAACCATTATCGCCGAAGCTTAATGGTGGAGCACATCAAATCTAGCAACTTTTCAATTCCTCGTTAGTACGTACGTACATATGTTGCACTTCTTTCGCATCGGTCGTAGCCAACGATGCTAATCGGAAGTGCGGGGGAAGGACAACAAGCTAAACACAAAAAGCAGTCCTAAATGAATTCGTTTTCTATCTAGATATACAAGTCCATAGCTCTAGTGGCTTCCTAATATCGGAAGGAAGAGCATTCCAGACGGCCACAGAAGCGCGTCTGACAGCGCGCGATGCAGTGACCGTCTTTGTTCGATGGCCAGCCAAAAGCCGCTGCGATGATGACCAGAGTTCACCTGATGATGTATGCTCCTTGACGAGAACAGCAAGGAATCGTGGTTCATTTGTGGCAAGCACTTAATGTGCAATGAGTGTTCGTGCGAGTCCATGTACGAATTTACCACATTAATACTCCGTCAGCACAAACCACCTTGAAAACAAGTAAACTATTTTAGCAAAGGGGATGTTGGTTACCAATTTTGATTTCAAGCACGATATTCACAATTTAAATTTGTAAACAAAATAAAAAATAAAACA